AAAGTACAGCTTATGGATTACAATGGCTTCCCCCCCATAACGTCCCTCCCACCCGCAACCCTCCCCTTTACCACTCCCTCCCCCCTTCCATTCACATCAAGATTCATTTTCAATTCTCTTTATATACAGAAGATCAGTTTAGTATACATTAAGTAAAGATTTCAACAGTTTGCACCCACATAGAAACACAAAGTGAAAAATACTGTTTGAGTACTAGTTATAGCATTAAATCACAATGTACATCACACTAAGGACAGAGATCCTACATGAGGAGTAAGTGCACAGTGACTCCTGTTGTTGACTTAACAAATTGACACTCTTGTTTATGGCCTCAGTAATCACCCTAGGCTCTTGTCATGAGTTGCCAAGGCTATGGAAGCCCCCTGAGTTCACTGACTCTGATCATATTTAGACAAGGCCATGGTCAAAGTGGAAGTTCTCTCCTCCCTTCAGAGAAAGGTACCTCCTTCTTTGATGACCTGTTCTTTCCACTGGGAGCTCACACGCGGAGATCTTTCATTTAGGTCATTTTTCCCCCCCCCGAGTGTCTTGGCTTTCCATGCCCGAAATACTCTCATGGGCTTTTCAGCCGGATCTGAATGCCTTAAGGGCTGAGTCTGAGGCCAGAGTGCTGTTTAGGACATCTGCCATTCTATGAGTCTGCTGTGTATCTCACATCCCATGTTGGATCGTTCTCTCCCTTTTTTATTCTATCAGCTAGTATTTGCAGACACTAGTGTTGTTTATGTGCTCCCTTTGGCTCTTAGTCCTATCATTATGATCAATTGTGAACAGACATTGGTCACTGGGACTAGTGAGATGGCATTGGTACATGCCACCTTGATGGGATTGAATTGGAATCCCCTGGTATGTTTCTAACTCTACCGTTTGAGGTAAGTCAGCTTGAGCATGTCCCAAATTGCACATCTCTTCCCTCTCTTATTCCCACTCTTATATTTAACAGCGATCACTTTTCAGTTAAGTTTTAGCACTTAAGCATAACTTTGTATTGATTACAGTATTCAACCAAAAGTATTAAGTAGAACAAATAAAAAAAATACTAAGAGGGATAACATATTAAGCTGCTCATCAACAGTCAGGGTGAGGGCTGATTAAGTCACCATTTCTCATAGTGTTCATTTCACTTTAACAGGTTTCCTTTTTGGTGCTCAGTTAGTTGTCACCAATCAGGGAGAACATATGATATTTGTCCCTTTGGGACTGGCTTATTTCACTCAGCATAATGTTTTCCAAATTCCTAACGGGGTCACTTTTCAGTTAAAATTTAAACACCGAGTTCGATCGGTAGCGGGAGTGGAGAGCGGACCCCAGAGAGCCCTGAGCAGCCCCACCGCCGCCGCCGGCCTAGTTACCATCACACCCCGGGAGGAGCCGCAGCTGCCGCAGCCGGCCCCAGTCACCATCACCGCAACTATGAGCAGCGAGGCCGAGACCCAGCAGCCGCCCGCCGCCCCCCCCCCCCCGCCGCCCCCGCCCTCAGCGCCGCCGAAACCAAGCCCGGCACCACGGGCAGCGGCGCAGGGAGCGGTGGCCCGGGCGGCCTCACATCGGCGGCGCCCGCCGGCGGGGACAAGAAGGTCATTGCAACGAAGGTTTTGGGAACAGTAAAATGGTTCAATGTAAGGAACAGATATGGTTTCATCAACAGGAATGACACCAAGGAAGATGTATTTGTACACCAGACTGCCATAAAGAAGAATAACCCCAGGAAGTACCTTCGCAGTGTAGGAGATGGAGAGACTGTGGAGTTTGATGTTGTTGAAGGAGAAAAGGGTGCGGAGGCAGCAAATGTTACAGGTCCTGGTGGAGTTCCAGTGCAAGGCAGTAAATATGCAGCAGACCGTAACCATTATAGACGCTACCCACGTCGTAGTGGTCCTCCACGCAATTACCAGCAGAATTACCAGAATAGTGAGAGTGGGGAAAAGAATGAGGGATCGGAGAGCGCTCCCGAAGGCCAGGCCCAACAACGCCGGCCCTACCGCAGGCGAAGGTTCCCACCTTACTACATGCGGAGACCCTATGGGCGTCGACCACAGTATTCCAACCCTCCTGTGCAGGGAGAAGTGATGGAAGGTGCTGACAACCAGGGTGCAGGAGAACAAGGTAGACCAGTGAGACAGAATATGTATCGGGGTTATAGACCACGATTCCGCAGAGGTCCTCCTCGCCAAAGACAGCCTAGAGAGGACGGCAATGAAGAAGACAAGGAAAACCAAGGAGATGAGACCCAGGGTCAGCAGCCACCTCAGCGTCGGTACCGCCGCAACTTCAACTACCGACGCAGACGCCCAGATAACCCTAAACCACAAGATGGCAAAGAGACAAAAGCAGCCGATCCACCAGCTGAGAATTCGTCCGCTCCCGAGGCTGAGCAGGGCGGGGCTGAGTAAATGCCGGCTTAACATCTCTACCATCATCCGGTTTAGTCATCCAACAAGAAGAAATGAATATGAAATTCCAGCAATAAGAAATGAACAAAAGATTGGAGCTGAAGACCTTAAGTGCTTGCTTTTTGCCCGTTGACCAGATTACTAGAACTATCTGCATTATCTATGCAGCATGGGGTTTTTATTATTTTTACCTAAAGATGTCTCTTTTTGGTAACGACAAACGTGTTTTTTAAAAAAGCCTGGTTTTTCTCAATACACCTTTAAAGGTTTTTAAATTGTTTCATATCTGGTCAAGTTGAGATTTTTAAGAACTTCATTTTTAATTTGTAATAAAAGTTTACAACTTGATTTTTTCAAAAAAGTCAACAAACTGCAAGCACCTGCTAATAAAGGTCTTAAATAATAAAAAAAAAAAATTTAAACACCTAAGAATAATTGTGTGTTAATTACAGAGTTCAACCAATGGTACTAGAACAAAAAAAAATACTAAAATGCATAAAGTATTACATTGTACATCAACAATCAGGACAAGAGCTGATCAAGTCACTGTTTCTCATAGTGTCCATTTCACTTCAACAAGTTCCCCCTTTGTTGCTCAGTTAGTTGTCGCCGATCAGGGAGAACATATGATATTTGTCCCTTTGGGACTGGCTTAATTCACTCAGCATGATGTTTTCCAAATTCCTCCATCTTGTTGCAAATGATCGGGCTTCATTGTTTTTGACTGCTGTATAGTATTCTATAGAGTACATGTCCCATAATTTCTTTATCCAGTCTACTGTTGATGGGCATTTGGGTTGGTTCCAGGTCTTAGCTATTGTGAATTGAGCTGCAATAAACATTAAGGTGCAGACAGATTTTTTGTTTGCCAATTTCATTCTATTCAGTCTTTGAAGTCCTGCCATTCGTGTTAAATGATACTTCATCACAGTTGGATAGAAGCAATACGTTTCAAGAGATCTATTTTCCCACAAGGTGATGATGATATATTGTGTTCTTGAAAAATGTTAAGCAGATGTTATACACTGCCACCACAAAAATGGTGAATGTATGAAGTATTGTGCTTGTTGGACTTAATCATCCACAAAACCATAATGTTCTACATAATAAAAGTCACATAACATTATCTGTTATTTTAAAAAATAAGGTTTCTAAGTACATACATTTTGTTTGATGTGTGCGTGTGTGTGTGTGTGTGTGTGTGTGTTTCCTTTGATTTAGTTTTGGTTCTAAGCCAATCTTCAATTTCTTTCTTTCATCCTTCCACAATCAGTTCTGGTAAAATCTCTTTAGCAATCTGTCTATTTTGCCTGTTTTCAAAGCTGTTGGTACATGATTGTTGTCTACTTCATGTTCCACATTTATTTTTCCTGGAAGCATTAAATCCTCTCCATTCAATCTAAGTCATTTTTGTCTCCTTTTTTATCTCCATCAATTTTACCGATTTTGCTTGTTATGTTAAGTTATTTTTCAAAGAACCAGCTTTTGATCTTGTTTATTTTCTCTATTCTTTTATTTCTCTATTTCATTTTATCCCACCCTTGTTTTTATTATCTATTTCCTTCTTATTTCTTTGGGTTTATTCAAATATTAGTGTCTAAAGCTATCAGTCTCACCCAAAACACTGCCATTGTTGTATCCAAAGTCATATTTAATATTTTAAAAATATTTTGTTCCTAAGAACAATTATAAGAATTATTTTAATTTCTTCTTAGCCCACAATATTTTAAGTGTCTAATTTTTATAATTTCTAAATATGAGGGATATTTTTATTTATCTTTTGGTTATTAACTTCTAATTTTATTATACTGTATTCAAATATCATCATATGGACAATATATTTTATAAAGTGTTGAAACTTTCCTTCTTGGTTAATTAATTATCAGCTTGGTAAATATTCTTGGGTTACTGAAAATAACTAATCTTTCTGAATGTTGGTTGAAGAATTTATAAATGTGAAACTTACATGCTTGATTTTTCTGTTTAATCTATTAATAATCGAGACATACTGAAATTCTTCTTCATAGTGGTAGATGCATCCATTTCTCCCTCTAGTTTTGCCATTTTTACCTCATGTATTTTATTATAGTAGTTGTTTTAAAATGCTATGTATTTTCAATTAGCTCTCTTTTTTTACTATGTAGTGAACTTCTTCACCCATAATATTGCATTTTTTAATTAGCATTCACTTGTTTCTTCATGGGAATTTGACTGAAAGAGCCTGAACTAAATGCCTAGCATTAGAGTTAGGTTAATGGCATCAATATCACCTAACCACCTGGATTTCTTTTTTTACATTTATTTATTTATTTGAAAGTCAGTGTTACACAGAGAGAGAAGGAGAGGCAGAGAGAGAGAGAGAGAGAGAGAGAGAGAGAGGTCTTTCATCCACTGGTCCACTCCCCAGATGGCTGCAACAGCTGGATTTGCTATGCCACAGGGCTGGCCCCACCACTTGGATTAATATTGGAGGACAGATGTTTCCCAAAAGCATGGGTATTTAGAGCAGAGCCTCTTATGAAATGCACCAATGACGTATAGCAACCTCTGAATGCGAGTCGGCATTCTCTTCTCCTTTTCGCCCAGGTCCCCTCCTTCTTTGGAGCTGGAGAAGATATTTAAGTGCAATTTGGCCTACACGAGTTTTATCTGCGGATCTGCACTGAAGTGGGAGGATCTGAGGCGGGTTGCGGTAAGGCCTCGATCTTACCCTCCTCGCAGGTTCCTGGAGCTGCAGCACTTACGGTGCTAAATACATGGCTCTGTTGCAAGGGTATTGCTCCAGACTCCTTAATTGGGGGAAAATATTGACTTCATGCACTTCAGAAACTGATCAGAAAGGAAGTGCAGTAATTAACCTCCAAATCCTCATGGTAACTATCACGCACACCTCCACGTTTCCCCCACGTGTATTTAAATTATTCATGTCATTGAGTTCTCTGTTTATCTAGGGCAATTTTGTTTTCTCAGCATAAGAGACATGCAAAGTTATGGATAGAAAAACTGTGTTTGGTCATTCCCCCCCATCAGTGTCTCTTTGTAAACACACTAGCGTGCCTTCTGATGGCAGAAACATGAAGGAGAATAGCAGGAATCCTATGCAGATTGGAACTAAAAATAACGAGCCACAACCAACTCTCTGGAGACAGGTTTCGTTCAAGATCAAAGACAACTTCCTGTCATGTTCTAAGTTTTGCAGAATCAATAAACCCAGAAGTTTTAGTTTAAAGCAGAGATCCATAGAGTCAATATAACGAATTGAAGGAGGAAAAAAAATGACAGATCCAGCACAGTCTTTCTCTTTCTTGCTATTTAGTACTATAAGATCGTTCAATAACTTCCTAGGCACCTTAAGATTCAAAATCCACATTTTTGAATGACTGCTTGCCTTGGGCTAAGCAGACTCCCACTTGTTTTATGCATTACTGAGCTGAAAGACAAATAAATATACAGGAAGTTTCTTTAAAAGGTTTTATTGCTCATTACTAGACATAAAATGATTGTGATAGACAGGAGGAAAAGCATGACTTGGTCTTTACCTATTTAAAAATAATCTTTTTTTTTTTTTTTGACAGGCAGAGTGGACAGTGTGAGAGAGAGAGAGAGAGAGAGAGAGAGAGAGGGAGAAAGGTCTTCCTTTGCCGTTGGTTCACCCTCCAATGGCCGGTGCGCTGCGGCTGGTGCACCGCGCTGATCCGAAGGCAGGAGCCAGGAGCCAGGCGCTTACCCTGGTCTCCCAAAGGGTGCAGGGCCCAAGCACCCGGGCCAACCTCCACTGCACTCCCTGGCCACAGCAGAGAGCTGGCCTGGAAGAGGGGCAACCGGGACAGAATCTGGCGCCCCAACCGGGACTAGAACCTGGTGCACCGGCGCCGCTAGGCGGAGGATTAGCCCGTTGAGCCACGGCGCTGGCCTAAAAATAATCTTAACATCTACATTAGGGACACGGTGCCCTGGTCCATCAGCTGTAGTCCTCACAGGCCTTGCAACACTAACAGGACTGATACTGGTGTAAGAATACCACAACTGCTTCTCAAAAGCATTCCCATTCTTGTTGGCAATTCAGTGACAAAAACCTTCAGAGAACCCAAATGGAATGCTAGAGCATTGCCCATGTAATTAACAAGGTGGTTTCTATTTTGTCTTGAAGAGCAGGTGGAATCTGCAGAAGCCTGCCTGATCATAGCCAACCCTTTGTGCAGTGACTCACATGCTGAAGACACTTCAAACATCTTGAGGTAAGAAGCTGGAGTGGGAAAGGGGAGGGTTGTGGGTGGGAGGGAAGGTATGGGGGGGAAGCCATTGTAATCCATAAGTCGTACTTTGGAAATTTATATTCATTAAATAAAAGTTAAAAAAAAAAAAGAAGCTGGCACTGTGTTTCCAGAGTTTCCACTTCTTCTACTTCTTCTGAAATAAAGCCAAGTGAGAAAATGCCGTCTACGGCAGAACGAGTTTCATCATATTTCGTAATTCTGCTTCCTATTTGCCTCAGGCCCCCTCCGACTAGGCAAGCAGCTGCAAAGCCCCCTGACTGCATACGTGCTCCTCTGTGTGTGCACCGGAAGTTTCAGTCGATAGCACAAGGTGTCTTCAAAAAGTGCATGGACAATGTGCATTTTAATTCCATTTTTTTCCATGGTGTGCCTCATAGCTGTCTGAATTTTTAAAAAAGCAATTGCACCAATAACTGGCTGCTATTCAGACAGGAGCAGTCAAATAATTAAGATCTTCTCCTCCTCAAAAATCAAGATGACATTTGGGAACTCTGTTAGCACAAATTATTTATTGGGATTGTTTTTCAGTAGTGCTAGGGAAATTTCAGTCAAGGTTCAGTATGCTGGATATTCAAGAGTGCCAGAGTTAGTATCATCACCTTTAACTGTGATTGGGAATTTGACTTGTGGCAAAGTCAATGACGATTGTGATGGCAGAGGTGTTGTACACAATCCAGATGAACGTCTGTCTTCCAGAACACAAATGCACATACTGAAAGTGGTTCTACAAACAGCAAGGAACAGCCAAACATGTGTAGTGCCGTGCCTAACACAGTAAATATGAGGGAGATAGTAGTCCCTTGGTTTCTAAATGAAGAAGTTGAATTACGCAGTCTGTGAGCTACTTCAAGCTACACACAGCAATTAAACTTCCATTGTTTCCTGTAATTGTGTTTGGGTTTGAGGGCTAAAACATGTGAATCTGTTTATTCCTTCCCAAGAACTGGCCCCAGAAGACCACGATCTTTTAATATCAACATCTGACTTTTCAGTAGATCTCATTTACTAACTCAGTAAAACAGTACCACTCTGCAGTGTATGTTATTCAACTGCATATTTTTAGAAAACAGCATAGGAATGAACTGTATAATATGTTAAGTTTTCTTACATTACACACACACCAATTTAACTTGGAATTGAATTATATTACAAAGAGACTTGGCTTCATGTGCATTGCTAACAAGTGCATTTGCAATTTTTGAAGGGTACGCTGCATCAAGAACTATTACCCCAAGACCAGAGTCATCATACAAATACTTCAATCCCATAACAAGGTATTATAACATATTAAAGTTTTCAGGCTCTTCCTTTTTTAGTCTATAAAATGCTGTAAACCTTATTACTATGTAATGAGTCTACAAATGAAAAGTTTTTGCCAATTGCAGATGAAATTTGGAGTCTCATTAAGATTGTTCATCACTTGGAGTATAAATTGGAGGCAGAATTAGTGGTCTAAGCCATCTGACCTGATTTTTCAACTACAGCTTTTTATATTTTTATTTTTTTAATTGGAAAGGTTGGCCACTAATCACTTTCAAATGTTGCATTTGTTCTTATCACCTCCATTGTTCTGGGTACCAGTTTTGTGCCCAACAGTAAAATATAAGTGATTTCAAGTAAATTAAATGAAAGAAAAATACCCCCCTCTAAACGAGCTTTCTTAAGGTATGTGTACGCTGAGTGATTGACCTACTTTCTCCCACAAAACAGGTCTACTTGCCAAAGATTCCCAGCTGGAACTGGAGTACTGGAGACAATATCATCTGCTTTGCTGAATTAAAGCTGGGATTCATTGCCCAAGGCTGCTTGGTGCCAGGCTTGTGCACCTTTCTAACATCTCTATTTATTGAGCAAGACAAAAAGGTAACCTTGTCAATTGATTTTGAATCTTGACTCCAACCTAATGTCAAGACCAGGTATAGAAAAAAGAACTTAAGGACAGCAAGTGGTCCCCCAAGAAATGAGATTTGGCTCCTGCTTGAACTGCCAAGGAGACTAATTTGCCACTTCACATAATGTAGAACTTCATTGAGAGCATCCTGTATCCACACAAACATGCTATGTGTGGCGTGATTCTGTATTCCAGATCATTCCTAAGCAGCCCTGGGAGAAACATTTCTTGAATGGTCTGAAGAACAAAGTTCTAACTCAACATCTCTCCGATGATTTTGCTGGAATGAGTTTTCCTGAAGTTTCCCGGTAAGTTGATGGGAAATTCTGTCCTTGTTCTTTCATTCCACACTGGTCATCCAGGGCTCACCATCGAGTGGACTCCATTATAAACACTGAAGATGAAACAGTGAGTAGCTCAGAGTCTTTGTGGCGCAGCTTCTTCCCCGCCCCACTGGCACTCTGGCTGGCAGTTGTTTCAGGTGGATTCACGTGCAAGTGAAGACTCCTTATTTGAGAGTTCCTTCTCCCTCCTCCACACTCTGGTATTCTCCCTGGCATGGCCACATTCTGGTGAACTAGCTCTCTGCTTCTTCCTCTCTTCTCACACCTTCTTCTTGTCTTTCTTCCTAGGCTCTGCTTCGTGAAGATGAACCTCATGCTCATAGCCATCGAACACAAATCTGTCTTTCACGGTGGTTGCTGGTACCAATAAGGCTTCTCATCTCTTCAGTTATTTTTTGAGGAGACTCTTTATCATTAAGACTTTCCCAAAGATTCAGCCATTGCTGGGCTCTTTGCCATGTGTTGAGAGCCAGCCACACAGACACGGGGCTCCCACCACTGTGGTGCGCTCAGGGCTGTTTCTAAGACTGGGGTTGGAATGGTTCATCTGAGGGGGTAAACACCATGCCATTATTCCAGTGACCCTGCCCCAGTTTTCTCTCATGAGCATGGGAGAGAAGAAATGGTCCCCTTCTCAGATCTGCTCTTCTTAACAATATGACCAGATCGTGTAAGTCTTGGCCCTAAAATAAATAAAACTATGAAATAAAATAGCCTCAGATAAGCTGTAAAATTTTGCAAAATTGAGATTCCCTTGGGCCACTGGACAAAGTCTGCTATTGATAGAGTGGAGAAAGGGTTAGAGGTGACCTTATCAGTACACCAGTGTGTCCAGAGAATGCATAAGTCATAATATGATAAGTACGAGAAGTCATGTCATAAAAAAGAAAATCTGTGTCAAAAAACCTACATATACATAAAAGGAAGGAAATGGAGCAAAAGAACAAGAATTAGCTACAACAATACTTGTGCAGAGACAAAAGATGCTGAAAAATAAGAAAAAGTGAAGACTAGATGGGATGGGGAGCAAGAAATGCTATTATGTTGGTTCATGTGTGTTCTTTAGTAGAAAACTAACTCAAGCTAGAAACTGACATCCACAGCCTAGATTCTGATCTGGAATTATGATTTGCTAGCCCCGTGGCTTTGGAGAAGTGCTCATCATTTATAGAATGAGGAAGTCACGTAGATTAATCTCTAAGATCCCTTCCACCTGAAAGACTGGCATCACTGAGAATCCTAGAATTGTAGTGAAAAGTTAAAAATTCTGCAATATTAAATGATATCAGATGGGCCATGAAGGAATGATTTTATAGAAAATGATTTTATATGAAATTTATATGGAAAGAATAAAAGTCCTATCTCCCTAGAGAAGACCTAGACAAAAAGCTGGGCAGAAAAAAATCAGTAGGATACTGCAGAAAATCGTTAAGGAGAGAATAGCAAGTAGTGTTATTTGGCTCATGAAATTCTATTTAACAATCCTGCCATGCTCAAGAAAATCTCACAGTCTAAACCTGTGCATATTGTCATCCACACAAACAGACTCTCTTCTGGAAACAGTTCATGTACAATGAGTAGGCTTACAATCATAAGCCAGAAAGTTTGGGTTTCAGACTGATCTAGCTCTTGATCAAGTTTCAGTAACTTCTTTGACCATCAACAACCTGTGCTATGCACCTAATTTTTTTGCAAACTTTTAAAAAGACATATAAGTTCTAAAACCCCATTTCTGGCCTGGCAAAAACCTGTTTCTAAAGGTGGGGCCTAAGGATTTGTTAAGTCTCCATAATATATATTTAGTTTGTTCACTGGCATTTGGAAACTACTGGATCACATGTTCTTAATATCTTTCCAGGTCTAACACACCAGATTTCTGTAAATTTTATTAAAATGACGTTAGGATATGATAGACCAGAAACATAAACATTTATTAAGCAACTAATTTTCACATATGTTCAAGAGGACTTGGTGCTGTTTACCACAGAGCACCCATCCCTCCCAATCAAAGAGGGACAAATTCCAACACAGATTTAACTTCAATTTCTCATTGAAAAGTCACATTTTTAAAAGAGACTGGTTTAGCAAAGACACTGACTGCAGTTTCTCAGAAGACTGCTACTTCATGGACAAGATTGCTATAGGTACTCTCCAGGCATAGATTCTTTAATCCCACACAACACTATGACATGGGTACAGTTACTAGTCCCATTTTATGGAGACGGAAGCTGAGGCCCAGAGAGATCAAGTAATTTTCTCAAGTTCACAGGATTCCCCAAATGGCAGAGCTAGGATGTGAACTCAGACAGTCCATCTCTGGGAGATATATTTCTGATCACCATGTTACTAAGCAACCACAATCATTGTCAATGTGTGGAAGCCTGGACATGTTCCCTAATCGATACACTTGAAAAGACCAAGACTTGCAGAAGTACAGGGTAATCATAAAGAATCATCTTGGGCAATTATGCATCACCTGCTAAGGGATGCCACTGCAGCTGACCTCCATGGGAGAGCGTTCTGAGTTTGTCCCAGTGGCAGACCATTTCTCCAGGAGAGTGCCTGGCTGAGCTTTAGGAAGGAGACTGTCAAATAGTAATGCCAGATCAGCATAATCCTCAGAAGACTCTCATATCACCTCTCAGTGCAACCAGATATGTTGTTGTTACAATATCTCATAGCCACGTATTTGACATAAGTTCTAAGAACACCTCCCCGCCCACCCACATGCACACATCTTTAAAGCAGAAAAGGAGATATGTAAGACACAATTAGGTATATGCTTGCTAGTTAGTAAACATCAACCAATGATATTTAGGGGGTCAAAAATCCACACTCTTTCCCTTTTCAATACAAATCCAAACATTCCACTCATTCATATCAGTCAGTAAACACTCAGAAAATGCCACCCATTGTCTCAGGTAATAATACACCTGAACATAGCTGTTCAGCTCCCTTTAACTCTTGGCATAGGGCTGAAGAGTTTTCATTGTGCAAGCCCTTTTATTTCTGTAAAGATTTATTAACATTTGCAAATGTCTTTGGAGTATCCTAACAACAGAGTAAGTTAAAAATTGCCAGAATTAGGACTTACCCTCATTCCAATGTGAACATAAAAAGGGAGTGACATTTAGAGGGAAGAAGTACGTTCATCGTGCCCTAAAGCAAACCAGAAAATGAGGTTATGACACCTGACCCTAACGGAGGTCTGAACAAAAGGAAATAAAGAGGAGAGACCTTGATAAACAAGGAGAAATGTAGGTTACTCAAAAACCCATAGTGGAGTTCTGCATCAAAGAATATCATGGGTAGAAATTTGTAATACAGCCTTTTCAAGCACAGAATCCATAATAAAACAGAAAAGCAAAATGTTCAATTAATGTAGAAATAGAAAGAAATTGCATGGCTGCTGCTCTCAAAAATCTTGCAGTCTACAGGAGCACAATGAAAGCCAAAAGCAATGTGCACCTTCAAAAACTATATAAGTAAACAAAATACACTTTTGGAACCATCTGGTTAATTAGCTATAATTTAATTTGAAATGGCAGGTGACCACAAGACCTAGAACAGTGTGGTCCTGGACTACTCGTCATGTGATAGCCTAAATTAGCAAGGCGGGATTCACCTGGATTGATTGGACCATCTTAGATTCACGACACAACCAGGCAGGAATGGCCCCTCCCCTCAGCTGCATACGCAGCTCAGCAGTCAAGTCCTTTCCGACAGCAATCAAACAAAGGACCAAATATAGTCAGATTCACATTTTCCACTGTGTTTGACAGTAAAAGGAGATTGAATTCTATTAACTCAGCTACTTAGAGAACCCCACTGGTGATGACAGAGTGAAATACCAAATCTTGTCACAGATATTAGAGGGGGAAATGACTATTTTTATTTTCCATTTCCAGTGGCTTGATACTCAATCCCCCTGTACAAGTTAGGCTGCGCAAGAATACATTAGGGTTCTTTATTGCTGAATCTCCAAAAGAAGTCAAAAGGTAATTTTTTGATTACTTTATGGGGAAGGGGAAGCACTAAAGCAAATAGAACTTAATGGGAGGCAGACTGAGCCAGCACCACGCATCCTTAGTGTTAAGTCTCACATAAGTCATTCTTGATTTGTTTTCATTGTCCAGAGCCTCCTTTTACTGTCTCAGCTGTCACAGTGATGTGAATACTCCTGAGCTAATTGCAAAATGTGGCTGCAGAAATAGGAGCCGACAGCACCTCACAGGTAATTGCACTTTATGTCTTGCTGCCCTTAGTCCAGCTACTAGGATCTAGCCAAGGAAAGAGAGGAGAATACCATCTCGCTAAAGACAATGCCCAGCTGAATTTGGCTAAGATGTGGCAGACATTTCAAGACTGGAGAATCAGTGGTTTAGTGCTGGAAGAAAACCTACTAGTTGTCTAATTCACCTCCCTTAAAGGCCAGGCAAATTAATTCCAAAAGAGATTGTTATGTTATCCAAAGTCACCGAGCCCATGGTTTTCAACCTTTCACTTCTTCATCACACACTGGTTTTCCCAGCATAAGACTAGAAGTTCAGCCTGTCTGTGACTGCTGGGTTACCAGTGAGGGTATCAGTTTAGGACCATTCCTTGAGTACCCTGTTCACTAATGGATGATAAGGAGTTTAAAGTTTGCTCATTCTGACACAGTGAGGAGAGAATGCAATTTTTTCTATTTTTCTCTACTTGACTCCATGGCTTACAACAACCCTTCCTATAATAGTGGGAAAAGAAAAATTAATCTGCAGCATTTATGATCACTCAGTTCAAAACTTAATCTCTTCCACGTGCATTCAGATTCTTTGAGGTAAATCTCAGTGGTTTAGAACTTACACAATAAATTCAACGTTTGATTTCCTTATCATATCTATTCTTATCTCAAGGGTCCTTAGCCTCTCCTTCTGCCCAGAATGCTATTGAAATGCAACGTGGGCATTCTTGCAGTTGGCAGCAAGTCCTCCCTGCTCCCTCCTGAGAACAGATGCTCCTCATCCCCTTTAGTCTGCTATCGCCACCTTCTGTGATCTACACATTGACACTCAGTGACTCTGTTCTTCATAGCTTTAGGTCACCTTCTGTCATGTGTTAATGAAATCCAGCATCCCTGACACACAGCCTTGTAGGCTTGAGACCTGCAAAACCTTCCTTTTCTGTACCACCAGTCTTTTCACTCCTTGTTATTTGTGTTCTGCTGTTGGGGACCCAGGGCCTTTCTTGTAACACCTGTGTTGAGATATAACTAAAATGCCATAGAATAAATACTGCATCCATTGGATGTCTATAATTCAATGAGTTTTAGTACATGAGTGGAATTGTGTGATGATCACTACAATCAATTCTAGAATGTTTTTCCCACCTCAAAATAAAAACCCATACCCAATGGCAGTCATTCCACATTCTCCCCTGTTCACACACCTGGAAACCACTGGTCTGTCTGTCTATCAATGTGACTTTTCTGGTAATTTATGAACAGACCTTTTATGTATGGCTTCTTTCATTCAGCCACACTGTAGCATGTATCAGTATCTTATTTCTTACAGCTGAATATGCTCCACTTTCTAAATGTATGCCACTTTGTTTACCCACCCATCTGATGATGGATATTCGGACTGTTTCCATACCACTTTTTGGACATTTTGTATAATGCTGTTATGATGATTGGTGCACACATATTCTGGTCATTTTCTGCTTTCAGCTTTTCATTTGTGGATAGATCCAGAAGTATAATTAAGTAAAATGTTAATTATGTTTTTCACTTGTTAGGAAACCACTATGTTCTTTTGCCCAGTTGCTATACCACCTCACATTCCTACCAACAACGCACAAATGTTACAGTTTCTCCACATTCTCACCAGCACTTGTTACTTTGCATTTTTTATATGAATAATCATTCTAATGGATATAAAGTGGTATCCCATTGTGGTTTTGATTTGAACTTCCCTAATATTTAAAGACGTTTAACATCTTTTCCTGAGACTATTACTGACCATTTACATATAATCCTTGAAGAAATGCCCACTTAGAACCTGTCTTTCAATTAGATTATTTTCTTTATATTCTTAAAATGTAGAAAGACTTTATGTATTCTAAATGCAGATCCCTTAAGAAATATATGGTTGACAAATATTTTCTTCTATTTCATGGTTTATCTTCATTTTTTAATTTATTTTGAAGTGCAAACTAATTTTAATTTTGATAAAGTCCAAGTATATCTTTTATTCTTTGGTCATTTGTGCTTTTGTGGAATATCTAAGAAGAGTTTGACCATCATAAGATCATGAGATTTACTCCAGTATTTTCTTCTAAGATTCTTATATGCTTGGCTCTGACATGTAGATCTATAATTTATTGTGGTTGATTATTTTATATGGTATCAAAAAGGAATTTAATGTCATTTATTTTCAGTGTGAATATCTAGTTGCCCCAGAATCATTTGTTCAAAATTATATTCTTTCTCCAACTGAATTATTCTTGTCACTTTTGGCAAAAAATAGTGGTCTAGGAGTTAGCATTTGGCATAGTGGTTACGCTGCTACGTGAGATCCTTGCATTCTATATCAAAGTGCCTGAGTTTGAGTCTGGGCTTGGTTTCCATTCCAGCTTCTTGCTAATGCACATGGAGGTGGGCAGCAGGAGATGACTCCAATACCTGGGTCCTGGCACTCATGTGGAAGACCTAGGCAGAGTTCCCTGTCCCTGTCTAGCATAGCCCAACCCCAGCTGAGGACATCTGAGGAATGAACCAGCGGCTGGGAGATCTCCATTTCTCTTTCTCTTTGTCTCCTCCTGTCAAATAAATAACACATTCAAATAAAAAACCACTTGATTATAAATGTGTAGGTTTATTTCTGGAGTCTCAATTCTATTCTGTTAATTTATATGTCTAGCCTTCTGCCAGAGGCCTACTCTCTTGATGACTAGTTTTGCAGTAAGTTTTTTGACACTGGGAAATATAAAACAAATTCAATTGATTTTTATCTATTGATCTTGTATTATGCAACCTTGCTGAATCTGTATTAGTTCTGGTAGTTCTTTGATTGCCTTCCATTCCACTTGTTACCTAATTGCCCTGGCAGAAGCTCCAGCAACTTGCTGAATAGAAATAAGGAAGCTTACATTCTTACTTTGTTCCTGACCTCAAGGGGAAATCATTCAGTCTTTCACCATTAGGGGTAATGAGTTTTTCTTAGATGCCTTTTATCATGGGGAGGAAGTTCTATTCTGTTCCTAAATTCTTGATTTTTTTTCTCTTGAAGGGGTTTTGATTTTTGCCTTTTTCTTTGTGTGTGTGTATGCTTGCATTTTGAGATAATGATGATTGCTTGTTTTATATTGCATTAATATGACATATTATATTAATTAATTTTCAAATGCCAAGTAAACCTTGTGCTTCTGAGACTTTTTTTTACTTAATCTGTTATCAAGTTTATTGCCTGCAAAATAGTGTATGCATAGCTATTGCTTTATATTCCTTTTGGTTTTGTCAAGTTATTAGTAATATTCCTTCTTTAATTAATGAGTGTTCCCTCTTTTTTCTTGTGGCCAGGCTTGCTAAGAAGTTTGTAAATTCTGTTGTTCCTTTTCAAAGAAACAACATTTTTTTCTAACTCTACTGTTTATTTATTCATATTTATTTTTAATTAGTTTGTTTATAATTTAACTTTTATAGTTTCCTACTTTCTGCTTGATTTGAGTTTACCTGCCTTTCTTTTACTATATATTTTTCACTAATTTTCTTGATGATTCACCTACAGTTTTCTATTTTTTTATCTTTTATTTAATGAATATAAATTTCCAAAGTACGACTTATGGATTACAATGCCTTCCCCCCAATACCGTCCTTCCCACCCACAACCCTCCCCTTTCCCACTCCCTCTCCCCTTCCATTCACATCAAGATTCATTTTCGATTATCTTAATATACAGAAGATCAGCTTAGTATACATTAAGTAAGGATTTCAACAGTTTGCTCCCACACAGAAACATAAAGTGAAAAATAATAGATGATTTTTTTTAAATGATGATGAAATCAGATCAGACCTATTGTCATGTTTAATTCCAGTGAGAGTCAAGTTGGGAATTGATAATTTTTTTTGATTTGGTTTTTTTTTTTTTTTTACAGAAGATCAGTTTAGTATACATTAAGTAAAGATTTCAACCGTTTGCACCCCCATAGAAACACAAAGTGAAATATACTGTTTGAGTACTCATTATAGCATTAAATCTGAATGTACAGCACATTAAGGACAGAGATCCTACATGAGGAGTAAGTGCACAGTGACTCCTGTTGTTGACTTTACAAATTGACACTCCTGTTTATGGCATCAGTAATCTCCCTATGCACCAGTCATGAGTTTCCAAGGCTATGGAAGCCCCTTGAGTTCTCCGACTCTTATCTTGTTTAGACAAGGTCATAGTCAAAGTGGAGGTTCTCTCCTCCCTTCAGAGAAAGGTACCTCCTTCTTTGAAGACCTGTTCTTTCCACTGGGATCACACTCACAGAGATCTTTTTGCCAGAGTGTCTTGGCTTTCCATGCCTGAAATACTCTCATGGGCTTTTCAGCCAGATCCGAGTGCCTTTAGGGCTGATTCTGAGGCCAGAGTGCTATTTAGGACATCCTAAATAGCCATTCTCATAGCCATTCTATGAGTCTGCTGAGTATCTCACTTCCCATGTTGGATCACTCTCCCCTTTATTTTTTCTATCGGTTAGTGTTAGCAGGTACTAGACTTGTTTATGTGATCCCTTTGACTCTTAGTCCTTTCATTATGATCAATTGTGAACTGAAATTGATCACTTGGACTAGTGAGATGGCATTGGTGCATGCCACCTTGATGGGATTGAATTGGAGTCCCCTGGTATGTTTCTAACTCTACCAATTGGGGCAAGTCAGCTTGAGCATGTCCCAAATTATACATCTCTTCCCTCTCTTATTCCCACTCTTATGTTTAACAGGGATCACATTTCAGTTAATTTTCAACACTTAAGAATAACTGTGTGATAATTACAGAATTAAACCAATAGTATTAAGTAGAACAGACAAAAAAAACTAAGAGGGATAATGTATTAAGTTGTCCATTAACAGTCAGGGCTATGCTGATCAAGTCACCATTTCTCATAGTGTCCATTTCACTTCAGGAGGTTTCCTTTTTGGTGTTCAGTCAGTTGTCACCAATCAGGGAGAATATATGGTATTTGTCCCTTTGGGACTGGCTTTCTTCA